ATAGCCCAGAGAAGAGAAACAATCTCAACAATTTATGCTGTGAAAAAACCAGAAAACATAAAGAGCTATTATAAATGGAAAAAATATATCATCATTATAATTTCTTTTCCTTTAGTCAGAGATTTAATTAGTAAGAGAAACTTTTAAAAATACTTATTTTCAAAGTTTCAAAACAAAGCAGCTTAATAGCATCTTTCTGAAGTTTCTTACCTGTTGTGAAAATACATTAAAGAGAAACAGTGCACAAGTATATGGAATATTTCTTTTAATACTTATCAAATTTTTACAAGCAAGAAACCAGAAAGTCACAGAGATTATATATACTTAAATATTTTATCTCTTATATTAACAGCTTACGCTTATCTTGTTATATGGAAAATTCTTTTTAATAAACTCTATAAGCAAACACAACTGCTTCATCTTTAGAAATAAATATTAAAAAATAGCCAATGAACATCCTTTACTGATATTAAGTGGTTAACCATTATTCTGGTTTTGGCTGGGAGAGAGTTAATTTTCTTCCTAGTAGCTGGCATAGTGCTGTGGTTTGGATTCAGTACTAGAAGAATGTTGATAACACCCTGATGGTTTAGTTGTTGCTGAACAGTGCTTGCACCAGTCAGGGACTTTTTCAGCTTCCCCTGCTCTGCCAGGTGCACAAGAAGCTGGGAGGGGGCACAGCCCGGAGAGCTGACCCCAACTGGCCAAAGGGCTGTTCCAGACCATAGGACTAGGTTATATTCAATATATAAACTGGGGGGACTTGGCCGGGGGACAGCAATTGCTGCTCAGGGACGGGCTGGGCATTGGTCAGCAGGTGGTGAGCAATTGCACTGTGCATCACTTGTTTTGTATATTCTATTATCATCATCATCATATTCTCCTCCTTTGCTGTCCTATTAAACTGTCCTTACCTCAACCCACAGGTTTTACTTTTTTTTCCCCCCCAATTGTCTCCCCCATCCCACTGGGGGCAGGGGGTGGGTGAGCAAGTGGCTGTGTGGTGCTTAGCTGCTGATGGGGGTTAAACCACGACAAACCTACACG